TCATTAGTAGGTAGGACAAAATCCTCCAGTCAGAGTTCAAATGTCCATGTCCACGTCCATGTCCATGTAATAAACAAAATTGGTAACTTGATTTAAAGTTAAGGTGCCCTCCAGCACCCTTTGCTAGAGCATGCTGCATGGGATAGCCCTTAATGGAGAGAAAGGAGCTTACCAGTTCTCTTCTTTTTTTTTTCTGAATATAATTTATTGTCAAGTTAGCTAACATACAGTATAGTCCTGGCTTCTGGAATAGATTCCCATGATTCATCACTTAACATACAACACCCAGTGCTCATCCCAACAAGTGCCCTCCTCAATGCCCATTACCCATTTTCCCCTCACCTCACCCCCCCTCACTTCACCCCCCAGAGAAATCAAGCCTCAGTTCTCTGTATTTAAGAGTCTCTTATGGTTTGCCTCCCTCTCTGTTTGAAATGATTTTTTACCCTTCCCTTCCCTCATGGACTTCTGTTAAGTTTCTCAGATTCCACATATGAGTGAAAACATATATCTGTCTTTCTCTGACTGACTTATTTCTCTTAGCATAATACCCTCCAGTTCTATCCACATTGTTGCAAATGGCAAGATTTCATTCTTTCTCATTGCCAAGTAGTATTCCATTGTATATATAAACCACATCTTCTTTTTTAAATGTTTTAAATTTATTTTTTAAAATTTACATCCAAGTTAGCATATAGTGCAACAATGATTTCAGAAGTAGATTCTTTAATGCCCTTACCCATTTAGCCCATCCCCCCTCCCACAACTCCTCCTACAACAGTAATCCTCTGTTTGTTCTCCATATTTAAGAGTCTCTTATGTTTTGTCCCTCTCCCTGTTTTTGTATTATTTTTGCTTCCCTTCCCTTATGTTTATCTGTTTTGTATCTTAAAGTCCTCATATGAGTGAAGTCACATGATATTTGTCTTTCTCTGACTAATTTTGCTTAGCATAATACCCTCTAGTTCCATCCACGTAGTTGCAAATGGCAATATTTCATTCTTTCTCATTTCCAAGTAGTATTCCATTGTATATATAAACCACATCTTCTTTATCCATTCATCAGTTGATGGACATTTGGGCTCTTTCTGTATTTTGGCTATTGTTGATAGCACTGCTATAAACATTGGGGTTCATGTGCCCCTATGAATCAGCACTCCTGTATCCTTTGGATAAATTCCTATAGTACTACTTCTGGCTCATAGGGTAATTCTGTTTTTAATTTTTTGAGGAACCTCCACATTGTTTTCCAGAGAAGCTGCACCAATTATGCATTCCCACCCACAGTGCAAGAGGGTTCCCATTTCGCCACATCCTTGCCAACATCTGTTGTTTCCTGAGTTGTTAATTTTAGCTACTCTGGTGTGAGGTGGTATCTCACTGTGGTTTTGACTTGTATTTCCCTGATGATGAGTGACGTTGAGTATCTTTTCATGTGTCTGTTGGCCATCTGGATGCCTTCTTTGGTCTAATCATGTCTTCTGGCTATTTCTTCACTGGATTATTTCAGGTGTTGAGTTTGGTAAGTTCTTTATAGATTTTGGATAATAAGCCTTTATGTTATATGTCATTTGCAAATATCTTCCCCCATTCTGTTGGTTCGCCAGCCCTCTTCTATCCCTTCTCTTCCTGCTTCCCATCTTGCTAAGTTAGTTGGAGCATGTCCAAGGAGAAAAAGAAAAGGAAGAGGGAAATCCTTAAGGCACAGCTGCTGCCACGATGCTTCAATACGTGCCTTCTCTAGGCTTTAAAATAAAACCAATTCTCTTTTGAATGTGTTAGTAAATTCCTAGGACATCTCCCACTCCTACCTCTCTATTAGCACTGAGAATCTCTTATCTCTGGTCTGGGCAACAGCCTCCTAGACAGTCCCTAAGACATTGCCCATGCTGCCTGATTCATTTACACTTACATATGAAGGTTATCCTTGCACATATGCATTTACCTCACACAGAAGCCTTATTTGCACCTATTTTAGGGTTCCGTATTTATTGTCTGATTGTGAAGTCATATGAACAAACTTTTTCAAGTATATGCTCTAGCTTGAACCTCATTCTACAGCAAGTAGTGGTATATTGATCTTCTTGACTCCTTCAAAATTGTCTCACATTTTGGACATGACAACATTTACACCAAATATTAGATCTGTTTCTGAAACAAGCTTGAAAATCTTTCCCTTCTCAAATACACTGTAAACTGTTGTTTACTTATGAGAAACATCATTACCTTTGAAGGAAGATGTGGATCTCTTACCAAACATATAGATTGTTGTCTAAGTATAATAAGTTCTAATTTAGCCCTTCCCTGTCAGGTAAATAAAAAATTCAGAAGGTTGGCCATCTTGCTGCCTGCACTGGAGTCATATGGGGAAGGTTTTAGACATAAAGATTCTGCAGCTTCCCTACCAACCTACTGAATCAGGATCTGCATAGCTAGGTTCCAGGAGATCTAAAGTTCTAAGACTTCCCTGGGTCATTCTGATAAACTGTTTAAAACAAAATCCTTCTCAGGGGTGCCTGGGTGGCTCTGTCAGCTAAGCGTCTTGACTCTAGGCTTCGGCTCAGGTCATGATCTCGTGGTTCACGGGTTTGAGCCCCACTTCGGGTTCTGCGCTGACAGTGTGGAGCCTGCTTGCCATTCTCTCTCTCTGTCTCTCTCTGTCAGCCTCTCTCTCTCAAGAGAAATGAACTTAAAAAAAAAAATCTTTCGGGGCGCCTGGGTGGCGCAGTCGGTTAGGCATCCAACTTCAGCTCAGGTCACGATCTCGCGGTCCATGAGTTCGAGCCCCGCGTCAGGCTCTGGGCTGATGGCTCAGAGCCTGGAGCCTGTTTCCGATTCTGTGTCTCCCTCTCTCTCTGCCCCTCCCCATTCATGCTCTGTCTCTCTCTGTCCCAAAAATAAATAAACGTTAAAAAAAAAATTTTTTTTAATAAAAAAAAAAAAATCTTTCTTGGAGACCGGAATATCTGCAAGTGTATTCACCAAACTCCTACAGTGTTCCATCTTCAAATCTTTCCTTCCATTGTATATTGCACATTAAAGATCATTTAGACAAAGTCAACTCAGCATGTAGTCAAAATAAAGTAACTATAGGCAATAATATACTTCACTCCCTCCCTTACATCTGAAAATTTTATACCAAAAAATCCAGAGACTTGAAAGATGGAATGTCATATGTAACTCATTCATCTTTCTGATTTCAAAGTTCATCTTTCTTACTTCCTTATTTCAAACTGCTATAAACCAACATTGTTGTTTTAAGAAAGTATTAATTATAATCAAATTTTATTCTAACAAGGAATTTTACTTTTGCTCTGGAATTTTGCACATGTGGTTGGTTTGGGGCCCTGAGTTTAACTCATAGCACTGGTGTGTTGAAAAAAATAAAACCATGGTGTAGAAATATTTTGCAGAATAAGAAAGTTTAGCTATTTTACTTTGTCTGGCCTAAAGGTCATGGTCATGTTGCTGTATTAGAATCAGTGCTTCTGTTTCCATAGTTGGCTCTCCTAGTCTTCAATCCAAACTTAGTTTCTCTCTCCTCCTAAAAATATCTAGAGACAAGTATAAGTCATTGTTTTGAAGCAGTTAACAAAAAAGCAAAATATAAAACCAGAGGTGGTTGTCAATATTTTCAAATGTAATATTGTGGTTATTGGGTAGGTAAAGTGCTGAATCCATACTTTAAAATGCTGCCTATATATTGCCATTTTTGTTGGTCCAGCAAAGAAAAAGGCACAGGCTGTGTTATTAAAAATGGACTAGAGGGGCACCTGGGTGGCTCAGTTGGTTAAGTGTCTGACTTTGGCTCAGGTCATGATCTCATTGTTCATGGGTTCAAGCCCCACATCAGGCTCTGCACTGGTAGTGTGGAGCCTGCTTGGTAGTCTCTCTCTCTCTCTGCCTCTCCCCCACTTGTACTCTCTCTCTCTCAAAAATAAATAAGTAAACTTAACATTTTTTAAACATGTATTTTTGAGAGAGAGAGAGTGAGAGAGTGAACAGGGGAGGGGCAGAGAGAGGGGAGACAACAAATCCAAAGCAGCTCCCAGCTCCAAACCATCAGCACAGAGCTGAACATGGGGCTCAAACCCACAAATCGTGAGATCATGACCTGAGCCAAAGTCAGTTGTTTGACTGAGCCACCCAGACGCCCCATAAATAAACTGTTTTTAAAAAATGGACTACATTTCTTTTTTTTTTTTTAATTTTTTTTTTAACGTTTATTTATTTTTGAGACAGAGAGAGACAGAGCATGAATGGGGGAGGGTCAGAGAGAGAGGGAGACACAGAATCTGAAACAGGCTCCAGGCTCTGAGCTGTCAGCACAGAGCCCGACGCGGAGCTCGAACTCACGGACCACGAGATCATGACCTGAGCCGAAGTCGGCTGCTTAACCGACTGAGCCACCCAGGCGCCCCAAAAATGGACTACATTTCTAATTCTTTTGTAATTAGTAGCAACTCTCCTAGAGCCCACTTCACCAGTAGACAAGAATCCTGAAAACGTTTGAGGAGAAGACTTTCATACATTTTGTTAATCACAATACATATTGAACTTGTTTTGAAATTCAAGAGCTGTTTAGAATTCCATCTATGGCTACTTGGAGTCAAGGGTGGGTGAAAAGAGCACTGAATATGGATACTTTCTCTGCTAGAGCTTGCCCTCCCTTTGCTGATGTAATTAACCATCTGAAGTATTTGGTATATCTTTATGGCTCTGAACTGGTGGTGAGTGAATTTGTGCTTGCCCAGCCGCAGAAGAATTGCTCAGAAGTTTGGTAAAAGTACTGATTCACAGCTTTTCTGTTCCCTCCGCCCTTTTTCCCACTTGGTCTGGGACAGTGTCTGGGAATTAAAGGTCTTCAGCAGACAGGTATGGGAATTATTGCCCAAGAGCTTTCTAAACAGATGTCCAAGTCGAGAATGTTATAAACTGATGGAATTTCAGTGTGGAAGCTACCACCACAAATTCCATGATTTCTCCCTCCAAATGTACAGGTGTGACTGTGTACGAAACAAAATGTGGGCTGCAACCTTTGGAATGATTTCTGCTGCCTTGGCAGTGGTGAACGGCTTTGGCCTGATGTTGTACATTGGGGTGCCATTGGTGATCATAGTTGCAAATTCACCATTTCTTATTCTAGGTGAGTAAAACCAAATGTGAAGCTACACATTGTGTATGTGGGGGTATGGGGTAGATAAGGGAAGGAATTTATGTTAGATTAAGCAAAATAATTATATTCAGGTGGCTCCACAGATCCAAAATGAGGTGACAGGAGAGAAGAAAATCAACTTGAAGTGTGTGTGTTTAGAGGCAGAAAAATCTAGTACCCCAAATGGAAAAACAGAGACAAGAGACATGAACAGGCAGTTCACACATACACACACACACACACACACACACATCCAAAATCCAAACTATAAATCACTGGAAGGAGAGGGAAAAAATAATTTGACTTCTCAATTAATGAATGGATGCAAATTAAACCAAAACTGAGATACCTTGTCTTCTTATTAAATTAATAAATATTAGCAAGATTGAAGATATGAGGAAGGTTGTATATAAATGAATACTCATTCTGCTGGGAGAAAATTATAAATTGTTACACACTTTTTTAAATCCAATTTTGCAACAAATCAAAAGATTTAAACATCAAACAGCAAATATCTTTGGCTTAGCAATTCCATTTTTAGAAATTTGTCTTAACAATTAGACAAGTGCTCAAAGAGCAGAACGAGTATGTTCATTTCAGCATTATTTAGAACAGAAAAGTTTTGAAAACCTAATTCAATATCAACATGGGATTGGTCAACTCAAACACAGCATACTAATACTTTTGAATCATATTCAGTCTTCAAAAGGAGGTAGATATATAATGTTAAATGGAAAATGCTGGCTATGAAACCAGGTGTTTGAAATAGAGAGATACAGTTATATGTGCATATTTGTATAGAGCAAATTCTGGATGGATATTCATAAAAATGCAGGGTGGAATTACTATTGTTTATACTTTTTCTCTGCATTTTCATGTACTTCCAGAATTTATTTTACAATAAGCATGAAAAACAAAGGTGTTTATATTATATTTTATTTTTTTAATTTAAAGAGATACCAATTATTTATTTTTTGTTAAATTTATTGTCAAATTGGTTTCCATACAACACCCCGTGCTCATTCCAACAGGTGCTCTCCTCAATGCCCATCACCCGCTTTCCCCTCTCCCCACCCCCATCAACCTTCAGTTTGTTCTCAGTATTTAAGAGTCTCTTATGGTTGGCCTCCCTCCCTCTCTGTAACTTTTTTCCCCTCCCCCCTCCCCCGTCGTCTTCTCTGAAATTACTCAGGATCCACATAGGAGTGAAAACATATGGTATCTGTCCTTCTCTGCCTGACTTACTTCACTCAGCATAATACCCTCCAGTTCCATCCACGCTGCTGCAAACGGCCAGATTTCATTCGTTCTCATTGCCAAGTAGTATTCTACTGTGTATATAAACCACATCTTCTTTATCCATTCTATATTTTAGAAAGTAAGGAACTTAGAAGGAATAGTATTTGGTTTCCATGGGGAGACCGTGGAAAAGCTGTTTGCTGGATGTCAACTTATTTACTCTAACTCTTCAGGACCCACCTACCTAGTACACACCCACGCTTAGTCACTCAGTATTCCCCACAGCCATAAATAACTATAGTTAAAGTGTACATAATTGATTTAATATAAACCAGCACTGAATAGTCCGTGTGTACATAGGAGTGTGTGTGTGTGTGTGTGTGTGTGTGTGTGTGTGTGTGTGTGTGTGATTTAAGCAACTCAAGAAGTGTTCAAGGACAATTTCTGAATAAGTTTCTATAAATCACAAAACTAGTTTTTCAATACCTAGTACATATCAAGAGTTCATTCTTGGTCCCTAGTACTTCTGATTCTTCCCTTTTGTGCTGCTGAGCCCAAGTGAAATCCTCAAAGCTGGTAAGCCATGGGATGTCAGGATGCAGTTTATGACAGAATGTTTAGACTTGTGTCAATACAGATTCTTCTGTCTTCTTGATCATACCCGTAAAACATCAGAGGCAAAGTTGCAATTCCCAGTACCCTCCCATGTAATCCATGCACAAGATCCCCCCAAATTGAAATTAGATCAGCATTTTATTGCAGTTAATTTCCTTATTTATTTTATTGAGTTTGTATCGATATACATGGAAACAAAGGTATACATGAGTGAAAGTAGTGTCAACTCAAGTAGAAATCTTGAGAGAGGTGAAAACATTGCTGGTTAGATGCTAACTGTACAATAGATAAGTCCAGTTTATATTTTAAGCAACAGAATGTTGGCTTCGTGTGTTTGTGCATTCATTAAGATGGTTTATGAGAGAAAATGGTCTTTCAAGTCATCCAGTAGAATCAAAGATACAATGCTAATCCTGCTTCGACTAACACCTACAATAGGTTTCCTGACTCATCATTACAACACCCTAAATGAAGCGTAGGAGTAGAGTATCCTGTGCTATGTACAAATAATAAGAGTATGAATAAAGCACAGAGTTATTACAGAGGAAGGGGTGGATTCTGTTGTGGATTCAGAAGCAACCAGAGAAAGTGACAGAGAAAGTAATAGTATCAAAGCACAGATCAGGCAAGATAAATAAGACCTAAGAGATGGAAAAAGAAGATGCTTCGAGTTTATGTGTTTAATTTTTCATAGATATTGATATTTTAATATTAATATTAAATATTAAAGTTAATATTTAATATTCTTTGTTTTTTTAACAGGTGTTGGGGTTGATGATATGTTTATAATGATTTCTGCCTGGTAGAAGACCAGCCTCATGGATAATATCAAACAGCGGCTGTCCAGTGTCTATTCCAAAGTGGCAGTGTCATTACAATCACCACTATCGCCAATGTCCTGGCCTTCTATACAGGGATGATGACCTCTTTCAGGTTCGTACAATACTTTTGCATTTATACCGGAACAACCCTGTTCTTTTGTTATTTTTATAACATCACCTGTTTTGGAGCGTTTATGGCCCTGGATGGTAAAAGAGAAGTAGTCTGTCTACGCTGGTTGAAAAAGCCAGAAACTCCTGACCAAAAGTGTTCCTCATTTAAAAAGTCCTGCTGTGTCCCATGTGATTCTCTCCCAGATGAACAAGAAACTGATGTCCATCCAATGAATTTGTTCTTCAGAGACTATTTTGGCCCTTTTCTCACAAGCACTGAGTCCAAGTTTTTTGTAGTGCTTCTATACATTTTGTTTCTTTCCAACGTTTATTTATTTTTGGGGGGACAGAGAGAGACAGAGCATGAATGGGGGAGGGGCAGAGAGAGAGGGAGACACAGAATCGGAAACAGGCTCCAGGCTCCAGGCCATCAGCCCAGAGCCTGACGCGGGGCTCGAACTCACAGACCGCGCGATTGTGACCTGGCTGAAGTCGGACGCTTAACCGACTGCGCCACCCAGGCTCCCCCTATTTTGTACATCATTAGTAGTATACATGGGTGTTTCCAAGTGCAGGAAGCATTAGACCTTCGAAATTTGGCAAGTGACGATTCCTACATCACACCATTTTTTAATGTAGAAGAACATTTTTCAGATTATGGCCCCAGGGTTATGGTTATTGTTACTGAAACTCTTGACTACGGGATAAAGATGCTAGGCAAAGACTGGGAAAATGTCTGGTAGATTTGGAAAACAGGGACTATGTAGAAAAAAATGCTACAGAGTTTTGGTTACAAGAGTATGTGCAATATATGGAAAATAGCGGGCAAGATGTAAATGATAAGAATACTTTTATAAACAGTTTGCCCAGTTTTTTAACAAATTTTCCACTTTTTATGTATGATTTAATATTTCATCTTCACATGAAATCATTGCTTCCTGGGGCTTCATTCAGACCATCGGCGTTTCTTCTTCAACCAATAAGAAGATGATGTTATTCCAGTTACAAAGCATACCCAAAAAGTGTGAAATTCCCCTAATGGTGTACAACCCGGCATTCATATATTTTGATCAGTACACTGCAATATTAGAAAACACTGTTCGAAATGTCATTGTTGCATCCTCAACATGAACATAGGTTCATTGTTTCCTTATTGCTAATTCCTCACCCACTGTGTTCCTTGTGGGTAACTTTTGCTATTGCTTCTGTGATTGTGGGAGTAACAGGGTTCATGGCATTCTGGAATGTCAATCTTGATTCCATATCCATGATTAATCTTGTCATTTGTATAGGGTTTTCTGTCGATTTTTCTGCACACATTTCTTACACATTTGTTTCCAGTTCTAAGCCCTCAGTAAACCAAAAAATAATTGAGGCATTGTATCTGCTAGGCTACCCAGTGTTACAAAGTACAGTTTCAACGGTAATAGGGGTGTGTGTTTTATCTGCAGCTAAAGCATACATCTTCAGGACATTTTTTAAGATTATGTTTCTTGTTATGGTATTTGGGGCTGCTCGTGGCCTAATTTTTATTCCAGTATTCTTAACCTTTTTTTGAAGGTTTGTTTGAATATCCACTAACAAATCAAAGACCAATTATAGAATTCCTGCTTGCCACAATCCAATCTGGTAAAAACACACTATTTGAAATAGTCAATAAACTAAAAACAAAGGCATGTTTCCTTGGCTTGGAAATCCCACTTAAAAATGTTATTTAAAATATCCTAAGAAAAACTAATTAGTCTTACATTAAAATATCTTTACTAGGGGCGCCTGGGTGGCTCCGTCGGTTAACCATCCGACTTCGGCTCAGGTCATGATCTCGCAGTCCATGAGTTCGAGCCCCGCGTCGGGCTCTGTGCTGACAGCTTTTGTTTCATTGTTAGAAGTTTATGCCTGGAGTTCAAGTATTTTATATACTATAATATAAATGGAATATTAATTTCATTATACTTCCTATATCATTATTATGTAAAAGTACAACTTATTATTAGTCCTCCCAGTCTGGGGCTTTGTATGCCTTTTCTTTTTTTTTATTTTTTTTTTAACGTTTATTTATTTTTGAGACAGAGAGAGACAGAGCATGAACGGGGGAGGGTCAAAAAAAAGAGAGGGAGACACAGAATCTGAAACAGGCTGCAAGCTCTGAGCCATCAGCGCACAGACTGACGCGGGGCTTGAACTTATGAACCACAAGATCATGACCTGAGCTGAAGTCAGACGCTTAACTGACTGAGCCACCCAGGTGCCCCTGTATGCCTTTTCTTAATGGTGTATTTTGACAAAATGAAGTTTTTGAAGTTTTGAAATCAAATTTACTTTTTTTTTTTTTTTTTTTTTTTTTGGCTAGTGTTTTCTGTGTCCTCCCTAAGAAGTCATTGCCTATTCTAAGATCACAAAAAAATCCATCCATGTTTTCTTCTCAAGGCTAACAGTTTAATTTTACATTTGGGTCTATGATCCATAGATCTATATTTGTTGAGAAGTGTGGATAAAAGTTCATTATGTTCCCATAATAATTATCCATCCAGTTGTCCCAGCATCATTAGTAAAAAGACTACATTTTCAGCATAGGATTAATTTGGGACCTCTGTCAAAGAATCAATTGACAATTTGTGTGTGGCTCTGTTTCTGTGCATTGATCTGTTTGTCTGTTCTAAAGCCAATGCCACAGTGCCTTGATTACTGAAGCTATATATTAACTCTTGAAGTCAGGTTGTATAATTTATCCAGCATTTTTCTTTTTTTCCAAATTGCTTTGGCTATTCTAGGTTCTTCCCATTTAGATACTCATTTTAGAATCACTTGTCAATTTACCAGAAAGCCTTCTGTGTTCATGATTGGGTTATGGTGAATCTACAGATCAATTTGGGGAAAATAGATATCTTAGCCATTTGGAGTATTCTAATCTGTGAACATGGTTTATCTCTCCATTTATTTATGTCTTCTTTAATTTCTCTCAGGAATATCTTACAGATTTAGGTAGATTTACGTCCAAATATTTTTATATTTATGGCATTGTAAATAAATTTAAATTCCTTTTCCATTTTGCTTTTACTACTACATAAAAATACAATAGATTTGGTATACCTACCTTATATGTGTAACCTCATTAGGTTCATTTATTAGTTTGTGTGGATCTTTGTAGTTTCTGTAGTAGTTTTTATCTGTGCAATTATGTAAAGGTCACAGAAAGGCCATTTTATTTCTTCCAATATAATCTTTATCTCTTACTTGGCTTACTGCTTAAAACATCCAGTAAAATGTGGGAAAACATTCTAAAGGCCACATCTCACTGCCTTGTTCCCAACTCTACAGGAAATGTTCAATATTTCATCATTAAATATGATGATTACCTGGAGATATTTCATAGATATTTCTATCAGTTTGAGGAAGGTCCTTTCTAGTCCTAGTTTGCTGAGATGTTTTACCATGAATGGGTATTGAATTTTGTCAAATAATTTTTGTCCATCTATGAAGATTATCATGTCATTTTTTTATTTTAATCTGTGAAGGTGGCAATTTATGTTGAATGACGTTTTAATATTACATCATTTTGCATTCCTAAGATGACTTACATTTGGTCATGGCATATTATTATTTTCATATGTTGCTGTCTTTGTTTTGTTCATATTTTGTCAATGATATTTGTTCCTATGATCATGAGGGATATCGGTCTACAATTCCCTTTTCTTGTAATGTCTTCCTCAGGTTTTGATATTAGGGTTATGCTGCCTTCAGGAAATGAGATGGAAAATATTCCTCTTCTATTTTCTGAAATATATGACATATGGTTGATACAATTTCTTACTTAAATGTTTGGTAGAATTCACCAGTGAAATCATCTGGGCACAGAGTTTTCCTAGAAATGTTTCCTATTTAAAATTTACTTTTTTGGGGGTGGCTGGCTGGCTTAGTCAGTTGAGTGTCCAACTTCGGCTCAGGTCATGATCTCTCAGTTCGTGAGCTCGAGCCCTGCATGGGCTTGCTGCTGTCAGCATGGAGTCTCCTTTGGATCTTCTGTCCCTGTCTCTCTCTGTCCCTCCCCCACTCCTACTCACTCTCTCTCTCTCAAAAATAAAACATTTTAAAAAGTTAAAAAAAAAAAAAAAAGATCCTTAGTTTAATCATCCAGTCAGCATCTTTTCTAGGTTTCATGATACCCCATGGAACAGTGCCTCTCAACTTTTTGCCGCCACAGAGCAGGGATTTTCTTTTCACCAGTCTCCAGTAATATTCTTCTCACTTACCTTATGGCCTCTGTGGCAACCTCCTTGAGGGCCACAGGGTTGTTAATAGCAATTCCAAGGCCTTTTGCCTTTCACTAGAAGTCTCCTTAACACGTTCTACCTTATGAGGCGCCTGGGTGGCTCAGTCAGTTAAGTGTCCAACTCTTGATTTCAGCTCAGGTCATGATCTTATGGTTTGTGGGTTAAAGCCCCACATTGGGCTCTGTGGTGACAGTGCAGAACCTGCTTGGGATTCTCTCTCCCTCGCTCTCTCTCTCTGTCCCTCCCCTGCTCACTTTCTCTCTCAAAACAAATAAACTTAAAAAAAATTTTTTGTAATATTAATGAAAGTTTTTTTGAAAAAAAAGTTCTAGTTTTTCCCTACTTGCTCAGTCCCAAAGTTACCTCTACATTTTTGGGGTTCTGTTATACTAGCAGTACCAATGTCTATACTAGTCCTCTATTATCCCCTAACAAATTACCCCCAAACTTAGTGGCATAAAATATAATCACATTTATTGTCTTTCATATTTTCTGTGGTTAAGGAATTGGGGAATGGCTTTGATTAGATGTACTATCTTGCAGTTCTCATGAGATTTAGTCAGAGGTCATCTGGGGACACGTATATCTGAAGGCTTGACTGGAAATTCAAGGTGGCTAACTCATGTGGCTGGCAGGTTGGGTTGTCTATTTGGGAGAGGCCTCAGTTCCTCTACATGTGGGCCTCATCACAGGGCTGCTTGTGATGTAGCAGCTGGCTTCTCCCAGAACAAGTAATCCAATTATCCTAGCCTAGAATGTCACACAAGAGCACCTCTAATGCACCCTACTGGTCATAACAACTAATTCTAACTCAATGTGCAAGGAGACTAAAGAGTATGAATATCAGGAGGTGATGATACTTGAGAGGCATCATTGATTCTGGCTACTATTTACTATTTGTTGATTTTTACCATAGCTATGGGTCATATTTTACTTCTTTGCATGCCTAGTAATTTTTTATTGGATGCCGGACCTTGGGAGAGTATATTTGTTGAGTACTAGATTTTTTGGCTCCCTTTAAATAGTACTGGACTTTCATCTGACAGGAAGTAATTTATATACCAGGTTGATCCTTTCAAGACTTGTTTTTAAGCCTTGTTATGGCAAGTCTAGAGTAGTCTTTAGTCCAGGGATAATTTTGCCATAGTATTAGGCAAAACTCTCTGGAATTCCTGCTGAAAGCCCCAAGGGGTCAATGGGGACTCTGCAGTCTGGCTGGTCAAAACTTAAACATCCCCCAGCTCTGAATGAGCTCTGGCAACTTTTTGGCATATATTTCTCTAATTCTGTTTTGCTCATGGAGTTTTATCCCATGCATGTGTGATTAAGTATTTAATAAAGGACTCCAGACAGGCTTTGCCTGACTGCATGGAAGTTCCTCCTCCAAATCTATGACTGAGTATTTAAAGACAAACTGAAGGGAGCCCTGTGCACATTTCTGAAGCACTTTATTTCCATAGTTTCCTCCTCTCTGGCACTCAGCTTCACATCTTCTGGCCACCTCATTCCCCCTTAATTCGGCTTGGTCGCCTCAGCTTAGAGAAAATGCTGTGCTTTTCCTAGTTTCTCCTTCCTGAGCTGCAGTCTGGGAAATGTCCCCAAGAAGAAGGTCAGAATGGTTCTCTGGTTCACCTCATAGTTCTTTTTTTCCAGAGATCACAGTTCTCCACTATTTGTTGTCCAGTTTCTGAAAATAGTGGCTCAACACATTTTGTCCCATCATTTAGAATAAGAAGACCATCTTTCTCTCAATTATTTCATTGGAGCTGGAAATAGAAGCCTCCTATTCTTTTTCCTATTTATGTCATTCATTTTGCTATCTAAGTTTCCAGTTTGGGCTCACTCTAGTTCGTCTCCTTGAAGTAAGCTTTGAAGTAATTTGGGACTTCAACATATCTGGGAAATCCCTTTTCTCTCTCTTCATAAATTAATAGCAATGTAATATTTAAAAAAAGATCTTATAATCCCCTTGATTGGCTCTTACACCTTCTAAAATAATAACAGAAAGACTCTGCTTTAACAATAGGTTTCCAAGGAAATTGCAAGAGAGACTGATGTATATACTATG